ACGTAGGAGACGAATCTTTATTTGAAATTGTGTAACGCCCGGAATTGGAGACTCAAACTGCGCTACGTTTATACCCAACCACTGTCAAGTACCACGTCCCGGTTCTCCTACAATTTGCAATGCAAACTCGTAACATTAAGTCCCCACTCACAGTCTTGAACTTTTGAACCCAACACCTCAGAAGATCACACGAATTGAAAGAACTTTGTTGTAATATTCCGCTTGAAATCACGACAGAATACGGCAATAACATTCACAATGCACATAGAGTTTGTGGCTCAACTAAAGTTTGAATTTCAATAATACACGCACAGAGTTTGTATGAGTTTGTGATTAACACACTGAGCACTGGGTTTGTGTCAGAGTCTGAGTTTGATTTCAAATATTGATAGATTCCGGGATTAAATAACTAAATAAAATACAGAATAATTAGTAAACATTAATACACAATAAATCCCTGACTATCCTATATCCTAACATAATGATTCCCTAGCTACATTATAAACATAGCAAAATCTACTAACTACAAAACACACTCAACTAAATCCTAAAACACCGGCAAAGCATATGACTGCAGATTGCACCATCACAGCTCGTCTCCGCTCACGCAGAACCGAGAGCAATACAAGAAACTAACTATAGAACAAGAGTCGTCGTCGGTCGATTGCCTCAGCCAATAGCGTGCAAGACAAACATATTGCGACATAGCTACTATTCCCACTCTCTCGAATACGATAAAGAAATAAACAAGAACTACCAAAATGCGACCTGCGTCCATTACACACCTATTGTATTTCCCACAACACAGCACCTTCCTGCCTGTTGTCCGTGAAACGGGGAATACCCTAACTATCTGGTGTTGGATTGAGTACTTGGATACTCTTGGATACCATCTAGTGTGATCACGATTGCTCGACAATGACAGATCACTAAAAATATTAATTAAAATATGATATCCCGATCTTCTAGATTCCAATTGGACATGAAGTGTACATAGGAATCTTTTTGTTATTATGTTGTTGTGAAAAAATATCTTTCCTCATTACCTACTGGATGAATTGCCTTGAAATTTCCAGTGGTTGATCAATCAATCAATCAATCGTTTATTTTGTCATCACAAAAAAAACACGTTCAAACATAAAGTGACACAATGAATAAATTACAGTACTAATCATGTTTTTGCGTGACCGGAGTCGCGAGGGACCTGAGAAGGTCTTCAAGCAGCCACGCCTACAGCGCTACAGGTTAGAATAAACATAATTAAATGAGGGATAAAATGAATAAATCCTAGGAATAAGTCACAACTGATACAATTACAGCGACATTCGAAATGTATGCGATTATGACACAGTAAAACAGAAAATGTAACTTTCACGGAATAATTACTAATAACTAATAAAAACGCGAGGAAAGTAAGATAAAAGCACAGAAAAAATATAGGAAAGGAAAGTTTGGCGGAATATGCAACTAAAAGCAATATAAGGCAAACAGTAAATCGGAAATATTTACAGCAAATGCAATTTAGGAGACACTTACGAAAAATTGATAGAGTCTAATGAGGAATACAAACAAACAATTACATCTATATAATGTACATAATAAAGAGGAAAAGATAAAACGGCCTGGTCATTGAAAATAATAGCGAACGTAGGTTAAGGGAAATAAGCTATCGCTCTCCACTCTGAACGATTTTAAAGATTGTATTTTTCGCTAAAAGTCTATCACTTTCATTTATTTTAAATATTTCTGCTGGCTTTTTAGTATTTAGTTTTTGTGTGCGATGACACCATCAAAATTAAAAACTACTCCACTTTTTAAACTTTCTCACAATTCGATTATCTACTGGTGTTCTAGGTATGAAAAAATTTAAGTTCAAGCCATTAATCTATTTTGAACCCAACTCGAGGACATTTGAAATACAGCTGTTTTAAGCAAATATCAAAATGAGTTTATTGAACAGCGAACTTCACAGCCTGATATCAATTCCACTTTATGTCAAACAATAATGACATGTGTTGTCTGCGTAAAACTTTATCAAAAATATGCATCAAATCATCTTCAACAATCTTCTGGAAAATTGTTGAGTGACGAATCAAGCATGTTATGAAGACAAGCAGGAACTCCGCGACCATGAGATAATATTTAATTTCTTTCTCAGCTGATCTAATTATGATATCAATATTGCAAATTACAACCCTGAAAAATTACATGAATAATGCCAGTAGGAATTTGTTAGAATATTAACTAAAAGCATCAAGATGAAAATTTATATTTCCTCCTATTACCTTTTATACATAACGAAATAACAATGACAATTTCACTAACACAGTATATTTTATCAAGTTCAGTGAATTAGTCAATATGAATATACTACAATAATAAAATTTTCGAGAATATTCAATAAAATCATATTTCCTTTATTACAGAACTTATTGTCTGGTAATCAGAATTGAAATCAATAATTAATGATTATATTTCATGGCTCACTAGATGCAAAGGAAATTCACGGAAATGAAAATTTCTCAAAATCATCATCATTTTCAGAATAGAAATATCAGAAGTTGAATAATTGTTCTCAACCTAGAAGGCACAACAAGTCTGTTATGACGTTATACAGATGATGGTATGAAATGAGCCCCACCTCAAAAATATACAAAATACTAATGCATTGGACAACAGTGATCAGCAGTCATTACTGAGACATGTCTGAATAAACACTACTCCTCCAAACCTAAAAGTTTTGTATTTTCTTTTATTTGTAATAACAGATTAGCAAAAATTTGATACTGGATGGACAGAACTCAATTTGTGCAGTAGGTGCCATGTAATAAAAGCCACTAACCTAAATATTTCATTTACAAAAACACAATTTTTTTGGTCAGTTACTCAAAGAATAAAAAGCATGAATAATAATTAACGCATGCATATCTTCGAACTAGTTATATCAAAAGCAGGGAATGACAATAATTGAAAAATACAGTGATTTCGAAGGAATGAGCTTTTAATATAAATAACCCCCGCTGGATCATAAAGATAAAAAACTTGAATTCATGTATGGAACTAAAATCAGACAGGCCCCATCGTAAACAATTAATGCGAGTTAATGAGAAAGATTTGATTACAACCCATAACATACCAACCATGAAAAATAATATGGGGTAATCCCCTGTAATCTGATATATCACAAAATTGAATAAAATATTGAAAAATGATACATTTTCAAGAATTAGAGATTAAATTGTTGACCATAATTAGGGCTGTCCAAAATCGAATATTTTTTTGATTCGAATCGAACCGAATATTATTGCGCAATCCTAAATTTGTCTCTAATGTACAATAAAAACTTCCTCTTCAATATTGTGCTAACGTATGTGCAGTTATATCTAAATTATTGCAAATATTTTGCATAACTATGTTTCCAGAGTTATAAATTTAATGCTCGTAGTTGCTATTTTAATCCTATTATCATTAGTATTATTAACTCAATATTTTTTGTGTAATTTTCAGTAAAATGATAAACAATTATTAATATAGATATGACTGTTGCCCAAAAAATTCAAAATTGCATTTCGGGAACTCACAAATTCAGAGTTAGTTTGATGACATTAATATTTGATGACCATATTGTTGCTGTACAACAGCCATCAACTCATAAAAGTGCAATTATTTGTCATAGTAATAAATGGATGAAACAAAGTATTGCCTATAAGAAATTACAATTTTTATTGGAAAAAGATATTGGACCTTCAAAACGTGTTTCAGTCCTGTACCATGTTCCTATGATTACTGACTCAACAGCTACAAATCGATTCTATTTATAGAACTGGCGATTTTTGGCTGACACAAAATTTGCCTTTTTCTCCTTGTGTTCTCTCAAAAAACGTCATCTTTAAATCATTGTTACCGATAACTTTTCATTTATGACGATGCATGGAATGGATAATTACATGTCACCGGGCAATAGGAGAGACCTTTTTACAGCAAAGAAAGCGATAGAAACATGTTTTTGCTCGCCCGTGAAAAACGCGGTGCAAAGGTGGTCGTGAGGCGCATTATGTGCCAAATTTTAGCGATTCGTAAATTGGCCGAAAAACGCTTCGAATAATTTGTGATTCGATTCGATTTCGAATATTTGGTTCGCTTGGACAGCCCTAACCATAATAAATGTAATGATATATATACAAAAAAAAATTAACACAACCAATATGAAAGTAATTTTCACTTGTCACGTTCAAATAAAATAGTTAATGATTAACTAACCAAGCAATCGAATTATCAATATTGATATTGGCGATCTGAAAAGAGAGATTATTCAAGCTATATCTTCAAACATTCTGTGAATTTGTTCTTACGCTAAATCTATTGAAGAAAAATAATCAAATATAACTTTTTGTCGAAAGAATTATTCGATCTAAATATTACCACACAATGATTAATTTACTGGTTTCCATAATTCTGCAAAAATTTAAATTCAAAAAATCAAAAATTGATAGGTATATGAAATAAGATTATGAGAGCCATAATTGTCCTAGTATAAGAGTAATTAATGCTATATAGATATTACAACAGTTGCCAGTGGAGTTATACTTTTTCCTTGTATTGTTTCAATGATTTTCCATTCCTTTTTTCCGGATCATATTCCTCTATATCTGCAGGATTTCCATTTCCACCAATGACATAAACTTTCTCATCAATCACACAACTACTGAAATATTGTCTTGCGTTTTTCATTGGTTTCAACATCACCCAGGTTTTAGTTACAGATGAACGAAACAGTAGTGAGAGTTGAGCTTCTAATAACATTATAACCTCCCATAATATAGATTCCTTCCTCTGTTGCTGTTGCCGAAGCTTCATATCTTGCTCCATTCAATGATCTATTATCCATTGACCAAGTTGACGTGACAGGATCATAAATCTCAACTTGGTTTGTTGCTCGTCCTTGCTGACCAGAATATCCAGCAATACAAAACACCTTTCCATCAGCAGCCACCAAAGATTCATAAACCAGAATCAGTGATTTGTCCGTAACTCTGGCCCATCTTATTATTCGATGGATCATATCTTTCCATAATGTTTGAGTGATCTTCATACTCAATACCATAAATAAAACCATTAAGTGCAACTGCACATGCATTATGAATATTAGTATTTGTCATTTGTTCCCACTTTGCATTTGGTTCAGCATATTCAGGTTTATAAAACAATCCATTTGTACAAATCACATAAATGTAAGATTCCATCACTACAGCAGAATATATTGTATTCTGTATAATTGCTTAATCTATGGTTTGCATTGGTGTCCATGTTTTATCATCAACATCATGAAAATGCATTCTTTGAGAGATTTTGTCAAAAACAACATTTTTGTCAACTGAAATTTCATCACCAAACTGAGAAAACATTTTTTTCTTTCATCAATATCATGTTTGGTCCATGCTAACAACATCTTACATTTCACCTCTTCCTTTGCTTTTGTTTCCTTCGATTCCATCAGAAATGAAATAAATTTTTCATCAAGATCCATAAACTCATCAGACTGGCAATTTCTATAAATCGTTGCAATGCAAATTGATTGCATTTTTTCTCAAGTTGTTTACAGATGTACCTATTTGCAATTTTTTTAGTTTGAAAAAACGATTCAGGATCAAGATCATCTTCCAGAAATATTGCGATACTATCACAAAGTCTTTGCAGCTGCATCATGTGAGCGACGCCCATGAGTGTTTCACGTTTTTCTTTGGCAACATAAGCATCCCCAGTGTAAATGAAATCAACACATTTTTTAACACAAACTTCATCAAATTCCTTTATTTCAACGACACCAGATTTTGTTTCAACATTTTCATGAGATAACATTGCTTTAAAATAATCGGAACTTGCTGACACAATATTCCTATGAACAGGAAGTTCCTCAGATCCAGCTTTGATCATGAAATCACAATGACGTCCAGTTTTACGATATTCATTTAATTGTTGTAAAATTTCAAAAGCATGTTCTTTAGAATCTGTATTGATTTTTTCTTCCATTTCTGAGATTACTTTGTTCACTTTTATGAATACCTGCTTAAGATCATATCACTATGGATACCTTAAACAATAGAGAAACTATAATTGAAAAAAAGTCTTTACAACTATAATTTACAGTCCATCACAAATAAACCTTAATAAGAGATCAAGGAAGAACTCAAACAAGTTAACTGCTTCATAAATTAATGATCACATAAAAATAAAATTTTAATAAAAGACAATGCCTGATCATGTAAGTGCGCAACCACAATCTCGAAGCTATGTAAAGTCTAGGCGATTTCAAGAATAGGGTCCCTCAGGCAGTCACTCATCGTTCACTCATGGGTAACACACATTACAGTCCGATTATGTCACGATAGGGGCAACTTGTAATTGTAACATAGACAACAAAGTTTCACAGGAACAGTTATGGGTCCCTGTCCACTTGCCAAAAATTCATTTTTTTTTGGAATTTGGGCCTGTTGTAGTGTGAAACTGTGTCCCTACTATCCTAATGGCAACACCAACATAAGGATTTTGTGAAGTCATTTCGTAGATCCATTATAAATTCCACCATTAAAAATATCCTATTTTCGGCCCCTTGAATTGGTCATGACCTTTCCTTAAAAACAAACTAAGGATAATTTATTTTACTAATTCAGCTTAAAGCTGTACTGAGACGTTGAAAAAGCCACATCTTTGTTTTCGCTGTGGAAAAATAGGGCTTTTAAACCCGGGCAAGAGCTCTCAATAAAAAACACCAGTTATTCGAGATACCCAGGGGTTGGTCGCTACGCTACCCGCGAGGGGAAATGTAAAGAAATGTATTTAGTAAGGTAAAAAGTAGGTGTTTGTTCTGGGTTCGTTGGAAGACCCTGATCGTTGTGCCGGACGAATGGCGACATTCGGGAAGTTAGAGAAAAAAAATTTCTTACGAAGTTAGAGAAAAAAAATTTCTTACCCAAATAGCATTCCAAAGAGGATGTTCAGAATGTGACAGGAGCAACGTTCATTCTTTCTGGAAAAGAAAGTTCGTCTTGTTACGTTTTTATTAATTGCAGACAAATCTGATGAATTCCCCTGTTTCCAGGCAAAAGGACTAAGAGAACTGAATTTGTCGGTGGTACAAGTGTCTTCGAATAGGACCCTACCCTAGGTCAAGGCATTTGAATGTAAACTTCCATTACTAATGACAGTACAATGAGTGAATGATGGGTGACTACATATTGGTAAAATCAATATGAAATATAGTTGGAAATTTAGGGGAAAAAATTTCTTTTTTGGTTAAATTTAAACCTTTTTAGTCACTAAAAAGGTATTTAAAATGGGTTTGTATTAATTTTTTTCTAAGACTTCCTCACATAGAATACAGAGTGACAGCTCTGGAATATCAAAAACAGTAATTATATTAGTACTTGACTATGTAATAACAAAAGTTTTACGCCATTTTTTATCACAAAAACAAGATCTTGTGGGAAAATCTCACAAAATCAGAATTCAATTTTCTAAATGTATATGTCAAAAGTTTTAGATGAACAAAAAATTTCTTTTTATTACACGTTATTTGTTGTTTGGTGAAAGGTGGCTGACTGTCGATGAGAGCATACATACCACTTCAACGACAGAAAAAGCATGTGAAAAATTATGGTAGAGTGGGTGAATTTTGATTTTTATAAAGGTGAGGAAAATGCCGCCTATCCAGAAGAAGGTGTTTCCAAATTATTAATAGGATGAAATAAGAGGTTTCAGATAATAAAATATTAAATTAGAGAAGTAAAGAACATCATAAAGATGATGTCAAATGCCACACAGAGATGTAAAATAATGTAACATTATAAATTTAAATTCCCCCCAAAATAAATAACTACCGGTATTTACATATATAGAGGAAGAAGTGAATATTTTTTATACAACAAGAATTAACAAATGTACAATAATTATAACAGGGTTTCCCACACTTTTTGGGCCGCGGACTCCCTATTTATTAATCTCAGTTTTACGGACCCCCATCCAATGCTGTATCAACTTCTGTGCCTAAACAACGAGTAAGGATAATGTTTAATTTACAACACATCAGCAAACTCATAGGTCCTACTCTACAGCAAGTCTGAACCTGTATTTTGGCATATTGGTAAGAGTTGAAAATGCTGCTTCACACACGTCATTGCACGAGGCAGTAAAACTTTAATTGCCATCTGAAACCCTGCTCTATAATAGTCATTTTCCAACGCATGAGATGGAGCTGAAAACTCCAACAAGATGGAGGTGAGGTGGAGGAAAGCCACCATGAAAGACTCCCAACTTTGAGAATAAAATCACAATGACATCAAATTTAACTCATTCATTCACACTATTCATTTATAAAATAACAACAACATGCTCTTTAGAATCATTATTAACTTGTTCCTCAATTATATCTTGGTTTGATTAAACTGCAAAATAATTCAATTCATCAATATGTCTTGGTTAGATTTGTAACACAAGTTCAAAGAGAAATAAATCACTTTGAAATTTCATCTATGACTTATCATTAATCAACAAAATGAAAAATCTTAAATTCCAGAAATTTTGCCTGTTGTTAGATGCAATATATTTTTAACATTGCCAGCTACATGTTTTGTATTATTGTCCAATCAGGAGTTTGAACAAACTGCATGAAAGTTAAACACAAGACTTATTTACCGGTAGTGGATATAAAATATATATTAAAATATAGCATAACTCTACAGGACAGCAAATCCACCGCACATTACCATTTCATTGCGTTGTGAATTGTCGCGCTGGTACAGCGGGAGCTCTCAATATTTTCCGGTGTAGTAACTGGAGGACCCATCTATGTGCCACTCAAGTTAATCAATGTAACACTTTAGATCTATGACGATAATGTGCACATTGTATGTGACTCTACAGGACATGATACTATGGGGCTTTTTCCACTTCGGAACAGCGGCCTCTATCATCTCCAAAAATTTTATAAATAAATCGTTAAATGAGTAAACACATGTCCTACAGCATTGCAAACACTTAATCTTCATTAACTTAAGTCCAGCCATCTTTTTGAAATGAAATAACTGTACCAAAAAATCAAACACTGTTTGTTACGAGTCGTCACAAAAAATGTCAATATCAAAATTCAAGTGCCTTTTAATATAAAAAATAAAAAACAATTACTTTTACTGCACTTTTTGAAAAATTGATGAAATTCAACATTTGCTTGGAATGGCCCATCAAATCATCTTCCACAAACTTTTGTAAAATCTTCAAGTAGGCAATCAAGCAATGACAAGTTGTAACTTTGCAATAATCAGAGACTATTTAGCTTCTTTCGCAGCTGATCTTATTATGAAATCAGTATTACAAATTACACCTGTAAAAATCACATGAATAATGCTAGTAAGAATTCCTCAAAAAGTAACTGCAAGCATAAAAGAGAAAACTATATTTTTCTTCAATATCTTTTATGAATAACGTAATAACAATGACAATTTCGCTAATATATTTTATTGAGTTCACTGAATTATTCCAAATATATTACGACAATGAAAATATTCAATTAATCCATTCTTTTATAATTGAACATCTTTTACAACATTATACTTGTTCTAGGGCTAATGTGAGTTTGAACAGCAGCTTTTAAATAATATATTTTCAAAATTGGTGTGAAGCATACAAGTGTTACAGACTCAAACAAATTATAAAGTCATATTTTAAACACTCATCTTATATACGAGGTGTGGCTAAAAAGAAACGGGACTATTGAATTTAGAAGTTTATTTAGATGCATATCGTACAATTTCCACATTGTCTAACACATACATACAAAACTACAATCATTCAAGTTCAATTGTCCATGAAAATCCATACAAACCCAGAAAGACCATTAAAATATTGTCAAAATATAAATATCAGAAGTTAAATTATTGTTTGTCAACTTGAAAAATACCATAACATATCTCTCATTTTGTTATACAAATGGTGATATGAAGTGAGCGCTTCTTTAAAAATGCATTGATCAACAGTGAACAGCAGTAATGTTATTACTAAGACAAGGTTGAATAAATATTAATCTGGTAAGAAAAGTTTTTCATCTTCGAAATTTTACCTTTGCAAAAAATAGATAATGAATGGACAGAAACCAATTTTGTACGACAAGAGCAATGTAATAAAAAACTTCATAGCCACTAGCCTGAATATTACAATGACAAATCTATTGAACAGTTATTTCATGGATAAAAAACAGAGATATTAATCAACACATTTAAAAAATGCATATCAAGAAAGCAGTGGAAACAAAATCAATAATTTGAAACAATACAGTGATTTTCACTACAGGAAAGGATTATTTAATATTAACCCTTTTTGATCAACAATTTTGTCGGTGTGAATAAAAGAATTTTAAATTATGAAAGCATGGAACATAAATTGAAATTGAACGTGGTCATCACCAACTTTATGAAATGTCACAAAATTGAATGAAATATAAAAAAAAAAAAAATGTTTCAATACATTCAAAATGTGATCGTTATCAATTTAATAATATAATAAAATAGGTAAAATGAAAAACTATTTCTTAATAACATTAGATAACATGTAAGCGGTCAGGCAATCAAATTATCAATCAGATACTAGTTGGATGTATGTATGAAAAAATTAGTAAACTTGATATCAAAACACATATTCAATCCTAATACATTACTAGAACACAAGATTAATGAAAAAATATTCAATAAATTCAAATTATTTGGTTGAGTATTATGACCCACAAAAATCATTTTACGATAAAAATTAATTTTGAAAAAAATTAGAAATGTTGACAGGGATTTTCAGTAAGCAATCAATGTTATATAGAAATTACGACAGTTGCTCTTGGAAAAATATTTTTTCCTTGTAATGTTCCAATTATTTCCCATTCTTTTGTTTCAGGATCATATTCCTCTATATATGCAGGATTTCCATTTCCACCAATGACATAAACTTTCCCGTCAATCACACAACTACTGAAGTCTCGTCTTGCATTTTTCATCGGTTTCAACATCATCCAGGTTTTCATTACAGATGAACGAAATTCAACAGTAGCAAGAATTGAGCTTCCATTAACATTATAACCTCTCATAACATATATTCCTTCCTCTGTTGCAGTTGCAGAAGCATAATATCTTGCTTCATTCAATGATCTATTATCCATTGACCAAGTTGATGTGACAGGATCATAAATCTCAACTTGGTTTGTTGCTCCATGTTGTTGTTTCAGTCCTGCAATACAAAACACTTTTCCATCAGCAGCCACCAAAGATTCATAAGCCAGGATCAATGATTTGTTTGTTAGTCTGGTCCATTTATTATTTGATGGATCATATCTTTCCATAATGTTTGAGTGTTTCTGATATTCAATACCATAAACAAAACCATCAAGTGCAACTGCACAAGCATAATGAAGATTTGTATTTGCCATTTGTTCCCACTTTGCATTTGATTCAGCATATTCAAGTCTATAAAACGATCCATTTGTACCAATCACATAAATGTAAGAATCTAATACTACGGCAGAATGTAAATTCTGTATAATTGATTGATCTATGGTTTGCATTGGTGTCCATGTTTTATCATCAATATCATAAGAATGCATTCTTCGAGAAGTTTTGTCAAAAACAACA